AGCATTAGTTCCTGGTTTACAGTTAAGATCCATAAATCAATTCATATTTTAATCTGAACGGTACTCAAGCGCAGTAAAGTTGCAACAACTACACAATATAGTGAACTTTTAAAATGAAATTCAATTTACATTTAGAATTAAATAAGTTAGCTAAAATTTGACCGTATGAAGTTATTAAAGTTATAAATAATCAGGTTGTAAAGATTCATATGTGAATATTCAATTTCTATTGATGTAATAGTTACTCATCAGTGTTTAAGAATATCAATACATGGCTTAGTTTGGCACAAAACCCTGTGTAGTAAATCCGAATCAGAATCCATCGCATCGGCTGCCGCATTAGAACGAGCGAGATGGCTGTCAATATGAGTGGGGGGACTGTAACTGATAATTGTAATGAGAAAAAGACATTAAATTGATAATAACTGGTAGTAATAATGCAAATATACTTATTGGAAAGCCTTTTGTGCGTTTTAGAGCCTTATTCAGAAATATTGAATGAGTATTATTGCTCTATTGGTCCCAATTTATCAAGTAATATGAGACCAACCTGTAATGTTACACAATTTTTATACAATATTTCAGTTCCAAATACATTTTACAACGGATATCTCTGAAATGAAAGAAGTTTTGTCTAAGGTTAAAAATAAAAACACTGCGGGATGGGATGAAATGTCAATTAAAATATTTATAAATCTCCCTGAGGAAGTCAAGCGAGTTCTATCTGAAGCTATTAATATTTTATTTCAAACTGGAGTATTTAGCACCTGTCTAAAATTGGCAACTGTTTTGCCTATTTATAAAGGAGGTGAGCAAAATGATCCCTCCAATTTCCGACCTATTTCATTATTACCAACATTATCTAAAATTATGGAAAAATTAGTAAAAAAAACTTATGTTACAATTCCTTGAGGCACACAATCTTATATCTGCTATACAATTTGGGCTTCAATCTTCTAAAAACACTACAGATGCCATATTTAATTTGCTTGAGCGAGTGCTCTTAAATCTTAATGCCAATAATGTTTTGGCGGCGGTATTCTGTGATTTATCTAAGGCGTTTGATTGTGTCAATCATGAAATTTTATTAAAAAAGTTGGAAATATATGGGTTTAGAGGTGTAGCATTGAAATGGATAGAGTCATATCTAACGGACAGATATCAGAGAGTATTAGTGAAAAAACAAGCTTCCAGCAAAATACATATTAAATGTGGTGGTCCCCAAGGGCCCGTCTTTGGGCCCTTGCTTTTTCTTATTTATTTTAACGACTTAACAAATATTAAAATAAGGGGATTTTTTACATTATTTGCTGATGATATAACAATTTTGTGGGACTCAAGTAACGAACAGGAATTAACAGCTATAATTAATTCAGATATAACTGAGGTTAAAAATTGGTGTGATGCTAATTATTTAACATTTAATATCAATAAAACCAGTATAATGACTTTTAAATGTAAATTAAATAATGTGTTCTGGCCAATTGGCAATGCCAAGGCCATAAATTAAAACAAAAAATAATGTGTTCCTAGGTAACTTAACGATTAAAAATAATGCGGAGACCAAGTTTCTGGAAATCTACATAGACTCCAATCTTAAATTTGAACGTCATATAAACTACTTAACTAAAAAGTTATCATCAGGATGTTACTCCATTAGATCTGTGGCACACAATTTGAATTTTGCTGTGGCAAGGAATGTTTATTTCTCTCTTGTGGAATCGCACCTACGTTATGGAATATGTTTTTGGGGGCTCAGCGTCACAGGAATCGCTTAATAAGATATTTATTCTTCAAAAGAGGGCAATAAGAAATATGTGCAAAGTTTCTGCTACTACATCGTGCAGGCCACTTTTCTTACAATGTAAAATCTTAACCATATATAATTTGTATATACTGGAAATGGCCTGCTTGATTTTCAGAAAATATAAGAATTATATTCGTGAAGCTTCTGTGCATGGCACTAGATTGACTTTTTTCCTGCCTCTCCCAATACCATCACTGCTCTTATACAAAAATCAATTATTTATAATGGCAAAAAAATATTTAACCACTTGTCTATGGAAATAAGACAGATAGGTATTAAGAAAAATTTTAGGAGGCAACTTAAACGTTTTCTGTCTGTGAAGGCTTATTACACGCTGACGGAATTTTTTAATGGCTTATAAGACTATAAACATATACAAATTTTTTATTTTCTTATTTTTTTTTGTAATCAATTATTTTTATTTTATACTGTTTCAAACTTGACTAAAGCTTTAAGGCTTTGTAAGGTTTTTAACTGGCTGATGACAAATATCTTTTAACTTTTTTGACTTTTTAAATATACATTAGGTTTATATTGTTTGTTTTTTTTTCTTGGTTTTGAATGTTTTATTTCTTTTTATATGCACAACTCGATTTTAAAATTCTTATATCTTATATATATTTTTTGTATCTTTTGTATTTATGTTTTCTTTTTTACCGGCTTTGTCAATTAATTTTTTTACTTCAGACAATAAAGCACTTTCTGATTGATTGATATAACCATAAACAATTCAATACTTGTAACAAAACTCTCCCATATTCTTTCATTATAATTTGACAACTACGTGGATGACACCGTGAATGTTTGCAATTCGATTTTTGTAAACATAATTAGTCTAGTACTTGTTCTTAGTTGGTTAGACATGATCCTTAATAGATCCACCTGGGTCGCAGTGGAAGGCGATGAGATCATCCCACTCATTTTCAACCTAATCCTCGATTAGGAAGATCTAATGAACGTGTATGGGTTAGCACGATTTGAATCTTAAATTTTTTTTATGAAGTATTATATATAAATGAGCCCTTCTAAAATAGTGTCATTGTGTGTTGTGTCCTATTCCTATTCCTTTCTCGGTCTGGTTTATGATGTTGGCAAAAAAATATTTGTTTTGAAAGTGTAAAGGATAGGGGTCTATTTTAGATAATATTATTGTCTATTGTCCATACCAAACGGACACACTAAACAAAACAGAAACTAATCCATTATCCATTTGCAACAGAACTTGAAGGATAAAACACGAATTGTTAAACAAACACAAAACACAGTACATAGTGGCAGGAATGTTTAGAGAATTAACGTACATGTTAATTAGTAAAATGAGGAAAATTGAATAAAATTTAACAAGAAAACAGTCCGCGGGCAAGGTTTGTGTTTTGTTTGTTGTATGTCCGTTTGGTGTATGAAACTGAGATAATGTGCAGAGCAATTCGACGATATTACCGTTTGCTTTGAGATACTGCTTTAAAAATTACCTTCTGTGATTTTATGTAAAATGTTTAAAATATCCAATCAACCCTTGATACTTCATTTAATGGTAACCCTAACACTAACTGACCCCTTGATAATAAGCCACTCCCAACAGAGGATTTCAAACCTTTGTAGTTTTAGTGTAAAATAAAACCTGATGACATATCAATATTGATCGTATGAGATACTGTCAAAACAAAGAATATCAGTTTTTAACATTTAATATAATTGTTCTCCTATTTATCTACTATCTAATACATTCTATTTTGTTGTAAATTATTGCTTTGGTTTAATGAACGTAAGATCCTAAGTGGTACCTAAACAGGTTTAGAAATTAATAATAAAAATATTCTCCTTAATTCACCCCCTTACGAGTGAATTTCAACCCCTTAAGCCGACTGAGCGACTTGTGTAGGGGAAGGGACGGCTATTATTATTATTTTCCGTGGTGCTCCGGGGTGACTTAAAGATGATCGATGGCGCCATTTGACTTACAGGTTAGGAAAACCCGAAAAACCCCACCCACTATCATCAAAAACGGTAACGCATGGCGATTTTTATAATCTGGAAATCATATCAACAGAAATTAAATTTATGCTAATGCGGCATCCATCAAATCCTATAGAGAACCATGCAAATAAATTCACATGGTCTTCTGAAGGATTCGAAGCCCGGTGTTCTCTACCACAAAATTGGCTTGCAACTGAATGCGACGCCGTAGACATCTACGCTACCGTGGTCGATAAAATAAAAATCAAACAAGGCACAATATATAGGGTTTTCTATTTACATACATTGACTTGCGCCTAAAATTCAAGCTTCCAAAAAAAGCATTTAAATAATAAAAATAAGTCTCTTTTGACTACTTAGTATATAGAAATATTTTAATGTTTGACTGGTTCATTATTAAACCATTAAATTACGTATTTTAACAGTATAAAAATAATGAATCTCAAAGTTATTTATGATAATGGAACTACATGTTAATTTCTCTTAATTACTACAATAACTTTGCTGAATGAAAACCATTATGTCATCACATATTTTTCATTTTGATGGTATCTATTATAAAACGTCGGCCTATCACATATTTCCCAGTTCAATTTAATGTAGGCTCGGTTTATTTAATTGACCTCAATATTATTTAATAAATTATTTAATAAATTATTTATAGTACGCCACTGATATCTGGAAGGTTATTTAAGCAACCTTGTCGTTTGATAATGTTGTACTGTTAATAAAAAAGAAGTGTCTCCTGCTCAACTCAATCGGCAAGTTAAGATTGATGTTTTAAAAGTTTTTACATAGGTACATTTAAAATAACTACCTATTCAAAAACAGTCAATAATTTATAAATGCTGCTTGATAATTTACAGTACAACATTATAAAGCAACATTTATTAATTTATAAAATAAATAAGAAGTTACTTCCTACTAAAACAAACATAATGAACTATAATGTAAATAGGATTACTACATACTCAGAGTGACTGACGACTGACCTAAAAAAACAAATTAAAACCGAATAGAATAAAACATAATAGGGATTGAGGATAGGCCCAGTAGCCACTATTAAAAAGTGCCCAACCTGTGATGAAAATATATCTAACAATAAAATTAAAAGGACTTTAAAAACATGAGTCTGATAACTTCTAGCTCGAATATTTCTAGGGTTGTCCTATGTTAACATTTACGGTCAATTTATTTAGTATTCAGTTTCACTAACCTGAAATAACTAGTGCCTCGTTCGGACCACAGGTGGCGAAACCCCAAACCATTTTAGGGAAGAATTATCAAAGAAACTAACACTAATAAAACTACAAAACACAAGATTCCCAAATAGTAAACACCCAAAAACAAGACGATGTAGACCGCGGAGACTGATCGAAGTTAGCTTGCCGACAAATGCATCGTTAACGATTTGCCGCATGCGCCTTACGTAACATGGGACTTCATTGATTTATTGAAGAGCGGCCAAGCATGGGCGTAACGAGAAATGGGCCTCCCAGTGACTTTAAAGAAAATGATTAGAAATTATACCAATTTTCTGCACATTTATAGTTAGTTATATATTTTACAAGTATACTTTTGAAAATGTTCAAGTTTTACGTTCGATTTTACGCCCATACGAATTTCAATATTTTTTTTGTAGTTTTAGAAAGTACCTACGTATATAGTTACGTACTCGTATCAGGAAAATGAAAGAAATTGTGGATTATTCACTTTTTAAGTGAGAAATTTCATGTTAAAATCTCTGAAATTGCACATTTTCAGACAAATGGTTGTACAGGTTTGGTAAGCACATTTTCAGACAAATAATATAGCTATTCAAGAAAAAAAAAAGAAAGAAATTTATCTAATTTTTAAATTTCTATTGAATTATCATACATTCATGATTTAATTTAAATAAAAATATTATCATTTTTTCACATCCAACATCGTTCATGAGCCCTTACATAGATAAAAGAATAATATCTGTTCATACAAGCTTAAAAAATTATTTATAAAAATAAAAATCAATCCTCTGTAGTTCGTGCAATAGTTTAAATGAAATTTAGTACCTTCATATTCAGGAAATGTCATTCGTTTCATTTTATTTTTTAATTATTAAGTCATTTTTACAAAAAAAAATTATTAAAGTAACATGAAAGGTATCTTGGCAACGACGCTTCCTCTCAGTATTTATGAAAAGTAGTCAAGTATAAAATTTGAAGTTAGATCTAATCTAATCAAGCTTTAAATTATTTAATGTTAAGAAGTCATTAGTCAAAATAAATAAATTGAAATGTTTTTTTTAATATTCCCGCACCTAATGCGAGTTAAAATTGTAAATCGTATCATTTCATTCAAAAAACAAATTTATTGTATCCGTAAAGTGTAGGGTGACGGTACGTACAGCATTTCGCTGTATTGTACAGCATTTTCAAAATCTGTCCAACTTTTGATCTTGTACAGCAAACGTACACCAAAACGCCATATTTGTCAAGCAAAATACTGTATTTGTCTAGCAAAACGCCATTATTGTAACAATAAGACTTAGGGAGTTAAAAAAGGGGCCCTCGCCTCTCGCGTCTAGAATTGGGTCATTGAGTCACGAGAAATATGGCCAGCCTACCGTAAAATCGACCACAGCCAGGTTTATGAAGTCCAAATTCAGTTTTATACAATCCAAATGCTTAGGTAAACTAATTTTAATTGATAAAATATTAAATATTTATGCTAATCTGTCTAAAATTGGTTAAAGAACGATTTTTATCAAATTTTCTTTATATCTTCTAGACCAGTGTTTCTCAAACTTTTGAAAAATAAAATATTTGGCGGAGCCCTAATTTTACTTTGTAACCCTGGTGCATTTCTAAAAAAAAAGGTCCTCAAACAAAATCAAATCTTTTCTTAATGAATCTTAAAAAAAAAAACAGGTCCTCTCTTTTGTAGCGGCGAACTTCCTCTTATTATTACTGTTATTTTCGCGGAGCCCCCACAGAGGCTATGTGGAGCCCCATGACTCTGCGTAGCATACTTTGAGAAACACTGTTCTAGACAATCTATCAGATTAACCATTTTATTTTGTTGTAGCAGAAACAAATAAGATCCAAAAAATTATTAGGACTCATCGATATAATAATGTATTGAAAATACAATACATTCTTTTTTTAGGTTTTTGTAACATGAACGAGTTACATAAATCGGTATTTCGTAACGTGTTACATACAATATTTTTTCCAATTTTAACTAAAATTGTGCTGTTGGTTAATCATTACTGACATTTAGGCAACCAATATTACTTTCTTGCATTGTTAGTTGCATATGCATCATATTATTGACAATTTAAACCCATAGATAAAATATTAAATCTATGTTAGAACCACGATTAGAACATCATTATTAATTATTTATTCTCAACGACTTGCAGTGTGTTTATATTGTTTATTAAAGTTATTTAGTTTTCAAAAAAGTGGGTTATTTTGTCGTGTATTGTGCTGATTTAGACTTAAAAAAGGACCAAAACAACATTATTACTAGGTTGTGAGTTTAACCAAATTCTAGTTTTATCAGTCAACATGTCCTTCTTTGATGTAAACTTTCAATAATAATTTATATTATTGATTTTAAAACCAAAAAAAGAGTTTATTTTTATTTCTTTTCTTTTCGCAACTGTAACTGTAACTGGTGACGTAATGAATTTTTTGAAACCAGTTTCATAATGGTCAACATTATGCAAATGTTTGCATAAAGGAGATCATTTTGACACTTAAAAAAAAAAGTCAATTTATATGCCAAAATTAGAAAAAATAAATTAGAGTTCTTCGATTTTTGATAAAAACCTTTAACCTTTAATACAAAGAAATCCAAACTCTTAGGAAAAGTGGACACCTGTAAAAACCATAACAGAAAGTGAGTGTTCTGTGCATCATAGAAACAAATATATCCTATGAATTCATTTTTTTAGAGAAGGTAAAAGACTGATAACAGGGGGCAAGATCGTAGTGTTGAATGTTAAAGAAATTATAAAATTTGATAAAAATGTTAATTGTTTTTAAACGGATGACGTGGGACACGTCGTCTGTCAACTAAAATACGCGTTCTTTTTACAACTTAGCTTAGATCGGAATGTAACTTTTAGTTAGTTAAGTATACCTGTAAAAAGAAAACGACCAATGTCTAGTGATTAGTTTAAAAAGTTTAGAGATACGGGAAAACCTCAATTTACATAAATGGAAAAAAATTCAATTACGCCGCTGCATTCTTGATTAGATAACTACTATGTTGATTTAAACAAATTACATAAAACCAGTTTTAGTAATATTATATTTTTATAGTACTCAGACGTGAATATGAGGGTCGTAACAGAGATAATTATCAACTAGACTATTCTGACAATTTTTCCATATCAATACTTTAGCTCATAGCATTTTTTTTTCCTTAGAAGAATATGGCATTTTGCTATAATTTTTTTAAAATGTGTTTTTTAATTTGAAGTGTTTTCTTATTATTCACTACTTCCACTCTCAGATCTGAAATCTGTAGATTTACCTACGCTCCTTTTTCTACTAAAATTAGTATAACATAAAAATACAATAAAATAGGCTGTTTAAACAATAAACAACACTTTTATGGCAGATATAGTAATAAAAATACATTTATCAGTTAAATGGCGTGATTGCAAATATCGATATAGGGTAGAAGGTCACAAATTATGCTCATGTTAAAATAAATATGATAAAGTAAAAATATTGTTTATACACCTGTATCTAAACATTTTATTATGTTAAATATTTACTGCATATTTTAATACAGCCTCTTGAATTTTTAATTATTGACTGTAATTAGTAAAAAATTCGAATGGATTGATGACAAGTAACTAGAACTGGCGCCTAAAAAATCTGAAAAGATAGTCCTCAAAAGGCATTGGTGAAAAAAAAAAAAAAGAAAAGAGGTAATTATGAAAGTACTCGATAGGACAGTAACACCAAAAAGGTTAAAAATTAGCTGAGGATAAAAATAAGTCGATATTGGCTTTTGGGCAGCACATTAAAGAAGTTGCAAGAAAAAACAATTAAGAGACTCGAAAAACTGGCAACGATTATACCAAATATAGGTGGACTTCAGAGTTAGAAGAGCTACTGTCGGCCTACTTACTACCTTTCACCTTACTCGTATCAACTTTCCGAAAATCTATAACCTTCAATTTCTGTGGCAGTCTTGGCAGAGGATAAATATTTCACTTCTCCGTAGCTCCCTGGTTACCGAGAGTATTGTTCACCTATTCTATGGTATCCTCCCCGTTGCGTGTTGGCTCCAAACAAGTCCCAGCATTCAAGTTATTCGGAACGAATAATTAGAGATTAGGGAGCAAGGGAGCAATGTTACCCTGCACTACATTCTCTAGTAACTGCAAGTGTTATAGGAAATGTACGAATACAAAAATAAGTGCAATGTTACCCATCACCCTACACTATACTGCGGTCGTCATAAGTAAAAATACGAGTAAAAGAAGAAGATAAAATAGAAATGTCTGGAAATGTCATTGCGTGTCAAGAAAAATCTGGACAGTTCGAGTAGGTTCGAGAAGGGGTAATGTCTTTGTAGAAGGGTCATGCAAGCTATATAAGTCGATGATCCTGACGTCAATTTTTCAGTTTTATGATAGACGACATACGTTCATGTTATCAGTTGAATTATTGTAAAAATTAAGTTGAAGTAAATTAGTTACCAAAAACCTGCGTACCACTGAATGACATTTCCAGACATTTCTGGGCTATTCTATCTTCTTGTATTCGTACGTTTCCTATAACAGCCGCAGGGTGCAGGGTAGCAATACATTGTTATTGAAAGTTTATATCAAAGAAGGGTAGGTTGACTTATAAAAATTGAATTTGGTTATACTTACATCCTAGTAATAATGTTGTTTTGGTCTTTATTTTCCAGTCCAAATCAGCTCAAAATAATTAAAACACAATAAACGACAAAATAACCCACTTTTTTAAAAACTAAATAACTTTAATAAACAATATAAACACACTGCAAGTCGTTGCAGTGTGTTTATATTGAGAATAAATTAATAATGATGTTTTAATCGTGGTTCTAATTGTCAATAAAATGATACATATGAAAGTAACAATACAAGAAAGTAATACTGTCAGTATTATTTAACCAAAACACAATTTTAGTCAAAATTAGAAAAATATTGCATGTAATTCGTTACGAAATGCCGTTCATGTTGCGCAACCTCGCTCTGTTCCTCCCGCAAATATTCACTTGTTACATAAAATAAGGCATTTCGCAACTAGTTTTATAAATAGCTATTTTCTCGCTGCAACTATTATAGTTCTATACTGTGTATCAGAAAAGTACGCAATTAATTTTGAAGTGTGACAGCAGTATAAATCAAGCGTCTTAGACGTAAATACTGATTCATTCAAGAAA